AGAGAGAGAGAGATAGAGAGGACATAGATTAGAGAACAAGATAGAGAGAGACATATATAGAGTAGAGATAGAGACAGAGATAGATAGAGAGAGATAGATAATAGAGTATAGATATAGTAAGATCTAGAGATATAAGAGATATAGATAGAGACATAGATAAGATATACAGAGATAGGATATACGAGATATGAGACAGACATAGAGATATAGAGTACCTAGATATATAGACAGAGATAGAGATATACATAGAGACAGTATGATATAGATACAGATACAGAGAGGAGACAGAGATAACATATATATAGATACATAGATAGAGAGACAGAGATAGAGACATATATATGACATACAGAGGAGAAGCACAGATACATAGATAGACAGAACAGAGATAATAGACAGAGAGATAGAGAGACAGATAGATATAGACATAGAGAGAGATACAGAGATAGACAGTAGATAGAACAGAACAGAGAGAGAGAGACAGAGAGAGATACAGTAGATAGAGATAGACAGAGAGATAGACAGAGAAGATAGAGAACAGAGCGAGAGATACAGATATAGACATAGACCATAGAGAGAGAGAGAAAAGGAAGAGAGAGAGAGAGAGGGGGGGGAGGTGACGACGTGGGTGTTGTGGTGGTGGCAGGGGTGGTGTGAGAAGCAACAGCATAGTGGTCTACGTAACAGCAGTGCACTCAACACACTCCACTTACTGGCCCATCAGCCCCACAGTATTGTCCTGGCCTACCAATCTGGCAGTGGCAAGATCACCCCTGAAAGATCGTCTCATATAATGCTGGTGAGTCATCAGGAACTGTGACTATGGTCAGGGGAAACACATTAGTCACACCTTAACTTATGGTCCTGGGCCTAACTTGCCAGTTATGTTAATATAACTGATGAAGAGTTAATCTGTCAGAAAATAATCCATGTAGAATTTATGATGAACATAATTTGTGAATTTGTTGAGAATATTTGCATGAAGTGATATATTCAGCAAAGATATGACTTCATGCTAAGCATGTTTATATACATAATATGTTAATATATTATAATATTAATTTATACTTGAGAAAATTCCCGTTTTGAATGAACAGCATGTTAAAATTTATGAATGCATCTGTGGGGTCGACCGCTGGATGTAATGGACTTGAGTCGAGGACGGGTTGGAGTCGTGTGTAAACCGTTTTTCATTCATAAACAGTTTGGGGGTTTGGCGGGTGGATGGAATGGTGTTTGGGTCTTTGTTTAGAAGACGGGCTGAAATTTACAGCGTTGTGGTTCGAACAGAGGACGCCAGCGAAGCAACGTTCGAGAAAAGTTCGAATGTCATCAGTTGAGAGTCGTGTGTAAAGAATTTTTCGTTTATAAACACTGGGTATGGATTAACGCGCATTTAGCCGGATTAACGAGCATTTGGCCGGATTAACGAGCATTTGGCCGGATTAACGAGCATTTGGCCGGATTAACGAGCATTTGGCCGGATTAACGAGCATTTAGCCGGATTAACGAGCATTTGGCCGGATTAACGCGCATTTGGCCGGATTAACGAGCATTTGGCCGGATTAACGAGCATTTGGCCGGATTAACGCGCATTTAGCCTGATTAACGCGCATTTGGCCGGATTAAGGAGCATTTGGCCGGATTAACGCGCATTTAGCCGGATTAACGCGCATTTGGCCGGATTAACGCGCATTTGGCCGGATTAACGCGCATTTAGCTGGATTAACGCGCATTTGGCCGGATTAACGAGCATTTGGCCGGATTAACGCGCATTTAGCCGGATTAACGCGCATTTGGCCGGATTAACGAGCATTTGGCCGGATTAACGCGCATTTAGCCGGATTAACGCGCATTTAGCCGGATTAACGAGCATTTGGCCGGATTAACGCGCATTTGACCGGATTAACGAGCATTTGGGCGGATTAACGCGCATTTGGCCGGATTAACGCGCATTTGGCCGGATTAACGAGCATTTGGCCGGATTAACGCGCATTTGGCCGGATTAACGAGCATTTGGCCGGATTAACGCGCATTTAGCCGGATTAACGAGCATTTGGCCGGATTAACGCGCATTTAGCCGGATTAACGAGCATTTGGCCGGATTAACGAGCATTTGGCCGGATTAACGAGCATTTGGCCGGATTAACGAGCACTTGGTCTTTCATTATGAAGACAAACTGTATATATTAGGTTTAATTTCTAATCACCACTGATCCATTTCATGCACCAAAGTGAATGAAATGTTATTACTCATATTGTGGACTGCATCTCTACTCTACCTCTGTATCTATATATATATATATATATATATATATATATATATATATATATATATATATATATATGATATATATATATATATATATATATATTAGAAGTTCTGTTTGTCCTAGATTGGAGGCCAGTTGCTCGTGGCTAGTTCTACCTAACTTTGCACCCTGATTCCCGTGGGGTACATGCCCAACATGGTGGGGTTGGGGTCGCCATAATGTAAGAGAGAACAGCGTGCCACAGTCACATACTGACCCCCACAACTTATTTTGAAACTGACCCCTGCCTACACTTGGCTAAATATTTTGAAAACTAAATTTGTTAAACAATTGTTATTGTTATTTGAAACATTATGCACTGACCTCTGAAATGAATATAACTTTTCTAATCGACATAATTTACCCGTAGCCGCACAAAGATGATCCTCCCAAAGCTTCTAAGCTAATGATAAAGTATTTTATTCTTTGTGTATTTCAATAATAAGAAAGACAGGGAGAGGGGTAGACGGAAACACACACACACACACACACACACACACACACACACACACACACACACACACACACACACACACACACACACACACACAATGGGAGCGGGACCAAAGAGCCAGAGCTCAACCCCCGCAAGCACAATTAGGTGAGTACACACACACATACACACACACACACACACACACACACACACACACGCACACAGAGCGGGTAGCTGAATGGACAGCGCTCTAGACTTGTGGACCTAGGGACCAAGGGTTCGATTCCCACAGCCGGCGGAAAACAGATGGGCAGATTTTCCTTCACCCTGATGCTCCTGTTACCTAGCAGTAAATAGGTACCTGGGAGTTAGACTGCTGCTACGGGCTGCTTCCTAGGTGTGTGTGTGTGTGTGTGTGTGTGTGTGTGTGTGTGTGTGTGTGTGTGTGTGTGTGTGTGTGTGTGTGTGTGTGAGAGAGAGAGAGAGAGAAATAGTAGTTAGTAACAGATGATTTACAGTTAAGAGGCTGGCTGAAAGAGCAAAGCTCAACCCCCCGGCAAGCACAAATAGGTGAATACACCCTAACACCCCACCCACTTCCTGACACTGAAATCTCTGGGTCAAAAATGGGAATAGGGTGTCCAAGTAGAACCTGAAGGTTTGGTACACGACGGAGTTACGAACAAAGCAGAGGAAATAAAGGAGTTGGTAAAAATGATCCTAATGTGATTGCAATAGTGGAAACGAAAATAAATGATATGATCTCTGATGCAATAGTCCCATTGGAAATCCAAGTGATAAGACAAGAAAGACATCAAAGGCAAGGAGGAGGAGGAGTTGCACTCTTAGTAAAACGAGAGTGGAAGATAGAAGACCTAGAGAATCAGAGTGAAAATGCACACACAGACTCCATCATTGGGCGCTGGCGCTGGTAGGGGGAGGCCTCGTAGCCTGGTGGATAGCGCGCAGGATTCGTAATTCTGTGGCGCGGGTTCGATTCCCGCACGAGGCAGAAACAAATGGGCAAAGTTTCTTTCACCCTGAATGCCCCTGTTACCTAGCAGTAAATAGGTACCTGGGAGTTAGTCAGCTGTCACGGGCTGCTTCCTGGGGGTGGAGGCCTGGTCGAGGACCGGGCCGCGGGGACACTAAAAAGCCCCGAAATCATCTCAAGATAACCTCAAGATTGGGACACTGACAGCAGATGGGGAAAGAATTGTGGTCCAGGACTCAGATTCACGAAGCAGTTACGCAAGCACTTACGAACGTATACATCTTTTTTCAACCTTTGGCGGCTTTGTTTACAATTATTAAACAGTTAATGAGCTCCGAAGCACCAGGAGGCTGTTTATAACAATAACAGTCGATTGGCAAGTTTTCATGCTTGTAAACTGCTTAATAAATGTAACCAAAGCCGTCAAAGATTGAGGAAAGATGTACACGTTCGTAAGTGCTTGCGTAACTGCTTCGTGAATCAGGCCCCAGGTTCGTAAGTGCTTGCGTAACTGCTTCGTGAATCCGGGTCCAGTTAACAACCCCACAACAAACAACACAAGACCCAGGCTGGAATATGATGATAACTAAGCACGCATTGATGCATTGCTGATAGCAGCAACAGTCTTTCCAGTCCTCCCCTAGTGTCCCCTGTCCACTCCTCAAGTCCTCTATCCTTCTCTGGAGTTACCAGTGTCACAGGTCGTCCCCCTGGCGTCACCAGTTCACCTTGGAGCCTCCAGTGCCCCCCTAGAGTTACCAGTTTACCCTGAAGCCTCCAGTTCCCCCCTAGATTCACCAGTCCCCCCCCCCTGGAGCCTCCAGTTCCCCCCCTAGATTCACCAGTCCCCCCCCCCTGGAGCCTCCAGTTCCTCCCTGGAGCCTCCAGTTCCCCCCTAGTCACCAGTCCCCCCTGGAGCCTCCAGTTCCTCCCTGGAGCCTCCAGTTCCCCCCCTAGTCACCAGTCCCCCCCTGGAGCCTCCAGTTCCTCCCCTGGAGCCTCCAGTTCCCCCCCCCTAGTCACCAGTCCCCCCCTGGAGCCTCCAGTTCCTCCCCTGGAGCCTCCAGTTCCCCCCCCCTAGAGTGACCAGTCCCCCCCTGGAGCCTCCAGTTCCCCCCCCCCTAGAGTGACCAGTCCCCCCTGGAGCCTCCAGTTCCTCCCCTGGAGCTCCAGTTCCCCCCCTAGAGTGACCAGTCCCCCCCTGGAGCCTCCAGTCATCTCAAGAATCACCAGAACACTCCCGGAGTGCTCAGCTTACCTGTATGGTGGGTCGCAGTCCAGCTTGTTGCTTGAGCCTGATGGGCCTCCTTGGTGCGTGGCGGTGCCTGCCGTGTCCCCGACGGAGCCCGTGCTGCCGTGGGGTGCCAGGCCGGCCAGTGCCACTGCCTGCTCGTCTGAGCCGTGCCGCTTGAGAGGCTGCGGAGTCTGCGCCACGGCGATGTTGTTGGCCGCTGCCGGGGTTGACACCTTCTTCTTGCCTGCGCCTCCGAAGCTGAAGAACCTGCGCAGAGAGGACCACGTCAGGTGTGGGGGGTGGGTGGGGGCTGGCGCTGGTGTGGGGAGTAGGTGGGGGCTGGCGCTGGTGTGGGGAATAGGTGGGGGCTGGCGCTGGTGTGGGGGCTGGCGCCAGTGTTGGGGCTGGCGCTGGTGTGGGGGCTGGCGCTGGAGTGCGGGCTGGTGTGGGGGCTGGCGCTGGAGTGCGGGCTGGTGTGGGGGGTGGTGGGGGCTGGCGCTGGTGTGGGGGGTGGGTGGGGGCTGGCGCTGGTGTGGGGGGTGGTGGGGGCTGGCGCTGGTGTGGGGAATAGATGGGGGCTGGCGCTGGTGTGGGGGCTGGCGCTGGTGTGGGGGCTGGCGCCAGTGTGTGGGGCTGGCGCTGGTGTGGGGGCTGGCGCTGGAGTGCGGGCTGGTGTGGGGGGGGTGGTGGGGGCTGGCGCTGGTGTGGGGGGTGGTGGGGGCTGGCGCTGGTGTGGGGAGTAGGTGGGGGCTGGCGCTGGTGTGGGGAATAGGTGGGGGCTGGCGCTGGTGTGGTGGGTGGGGGCTGGCGCCAGTGTGGGGGCTGGCGCTGGTGTGGTGTGGGGGCTGGCGCTGGAGTGCGGGCTGGGGTGGGGGTGTGGTGGGGGCTGGCGCTGGTGTGGGGGCTGGGGGGTGGTGGTGGGGGCTGGCGCTGGTGTGGAGGGTGGTGGGGGCTGGTGTGGGGGGTGGGGGCTGGTGTGGGGGTGGTGGGGGCTGGCGCTGGTGTGGGGTGTGGTGGGGGGCTGGCGCTGGTGTGGGGGGTGGTGGGGGGCTGGCGCTGGTGTGGGGGGGTGGGGGGGGGGGGGCTGGCGCTGGTGTGGGGGGGTGGTGGGGGGCTGGCGCTGGTGTGTGGGGTGGTGAAGGGCTGGCGCGTGTGGGGTGGTGAAGGGCTGGCGTGGTGGGGGGGGGGGTGGGGCGCTGGCGTGGTGTGGGGGGTGGTGGGGGGCTGGCGCTGGTGTGGGGTGGGGGGGGCTGGCGCTGGTGTGTGGGGTGGTGGGGGCTGGCGCTGGTGTGGGGTGGGGGGGGGGGGCTGGCGTTGGTGTGGGGGGTGGTGGGGGGCTGGCGCTGGTGTGGGGGGTGGTGGGGGGCTGGCGCTGGTGTGTGGGGTGGTGAAGGGCTGGCGCTGGTGTGTGGGGTGGTGAAGGGCTGGCGCTGGTGTGGGGGGGTGGTGGGGGGCTGGCGCTGGTGTGGGGGGGGGTGGTGGGCGGCTGGCGCTGGTGTGGGGTGGGGGGGGGGCTGGCGCTGGTGTCGGGGGGTGGTAGGGGCTGGCGCTGGTGTGTGGGGTGGTGGGGGGCTGGCGCTGGTGTGGGGTGGGGGGGGGGCTGGCGCTGGTGTGTGGGGTGGTGGGGGCTGGTGTGGGGTGGAGGGGGGCTGGCGCTGGTGTGGGGGGTGGTGGGGGCTGGCGCTGGTGTGGGGGGTGGGAGGGGCTGGCGCTGGTGTGGGGGGTGGGTGGGGCTGGCGCTGGTGTGGGGGGTGGGTGGGGCTGGCGCTGGTGTGGGGGGTGGGTGGGGCTGGCGCTGGTGTGTGGGGTGGTGGGGGCTGGCGCTGGTGTGGGGGTGGGTGGGGGCTGGTGTGGGGGTGGGTGGGGGGGCTGGTGTGGGGGTGGGTGGGGGGGCTGGCGCTGGTGTGGGGGTGGGTGGGGGGAGCTGGCGCCGGTGTGGGGGGGGCTGGCGCTAGTGTGGGGGGGCGGTGGGGCTGGCGCTGGTGTGGGGGGTGGGGGGGCTGGTGTGTGGGGGGGGGGGGGGGGCTGGTGTGGTGGGTGGTGGGGGGCTGGCGCTGGTGTGGGGGTGGCGGTGGGGGCTGGCGCTGGTGTGGGGGGGCTGGTGCTGGTGTGGGAGGGGCTGGTGCTGGTGTGGGTGGGGCTGGCGCTGGTGTGGGGGGTGGTGGGGGGCTGGCGCTGGTGTGGGCGGTGGTGGGGGGGGGCTGGCGCTGGTGTGGGGGGGGGGCTGGCGCTGGTGTGGAGGTGGCGGTGGGGGCTGGCGCTGGTGTGGGGGGGGGGCGGTGGGGGCTGGCGGTGGTGTGGGGGGGGGGGCGGTGGGGGCTGGCGCTGGTGTGGGTGGTAGGGGGGGCTGGCGCTGGTGTGGGCGGTGGGGGGTGGGGGGGGGGCTGGCGCCGGTGTGGCGGGTGGGAGGGCTGGTGTGGGGGTGCGGTGGGGGCTGGCGCTGGTGTGGGGGTGGGTGGGGGCTGGCGCTGGTGTGGGGGTGGGTGGGGGGGCTGGTGTGGAGGTGGGTGGGGGGCTGGCGCTGGTGTGGGGGTGGGTGGTGGGGGGCTGGCGCCGGTGTGGGGGGTGGGTGGGGCTGGCGCTGGTGTGGGGGGTGGTGGGGGCTGGCGCTGGTGTGGGGGTGGGTGGGGGGGCTGGTGTGGGGGTGGGTGGGGGGCTGGTGTGGTTGGGAGCTGGCGCTGGTGTGGGGGTTGGGGGGCCTGGCGCCGGTGTGGGGGGTGGGGGGGCTGGCGCTGGTGTGGGGGGGGCGGTGGGGCTGGCGCTGGTGTGGGGGGTGGTGGGGGCTGGCGCTGGTGTGGGGGGTGGTTGGGACTGGCGCTGGTGTGGGGGGTGGGTGGGGCAGGCGCTGGTGTGGGGGGTGGGTGGGGCTGGCGCTGGTGTGGGGGGTGGGTGGGGCTGGCGCTGGTGTCGGGGGTGGTGAGGGCTGGCGCTGGTGTGGGGGGTGGTGGGGGCTGGCGCTGGTGTGGGGGGTGGTGGGAAGCTGGCGCTGGTGTGGGGGGTGGGTGGGGCTGGCGCTGGTGTGGGGGGTGGGGGGGGGCTGGCGCTGGTGTGGGGGTGGGGGGGGGGCTGGCGCTGGTGTGGGGGGGGTGGGGGGGGGCTGGCGCTGGTGTGGGGGGTGGGTGGGGGCTGGCTCTGGTATGGGGGGTGAGGGAGTGTATGACTCACCATAGGTGTGGGGGAGTGTATGACTCACCATAGGTCTGGGGGAGTATGACTCACCATGGGTGTGGGGAAAGCGTATGACTCACCATGGGTGTGGGGGAAGTGTATGACTCACCATGGGTGTGGGGAAATGTATGACTCACCATAGGTGTGGGGGAAGTGTATGACTCACCATAGGTGTGGGGGAAGTGTATGACTCACCATGGGTGTGGGGGAAGTGTATGACTCACCATGGGTGTGGGGGAAGTGTATGACTCACCATGGGTGTGGGGGAAGTGTATGACTCACCATGGGTGTGGGGGAAGTGTATGACTCACCATGGGTGTGGGGGAAGTGTATGACTCACCATAGGGTGGGGGGAGTGTATGACTCACCATGGGTGTGGGGGAAGTGTATGACTCACCATAGGTGTGGGGGAGTGTATGACTCACCATAGGTGTGGGGGAGTGTATGACTCACCATAGGTGTGGGGGAGTGTATGACTCACCATAGGGGTGGGGGAGTGTATGACTCACCATAGGTGTGGGGGAGTGTATGACTCACCATAGGTGTGGGGAAGTGTATGACTCACCATAGGGGTGGGGGAGTGTATGACTCACCAAAGGTGTGGGGGGAGTGTATGACTCACCATAGGTGAGGGGAAGTGTATGACTCACCATAGGTGAGGGGAAGTGTATGACTCACCATAGGTGAGGGGAAGTGTATGACTCACCATAGGTGTGGGGAAGTGTATGACTCACCATATGGGGAAGGGACTCACCATAGGGGGGGAGTGTATGACTCACCAAAGGTGTGGGGGGAGTGTATGACTCACCATAGGTGAGGGGAAGTGTATGACTCACCATAGGTGAGGGGAAGTGTATGACTCACCATAGGTGAGGGGAAGTGTATGACTCACCATAGGTGTGGGGAAGTGTATGACTCACCATAGGTGAGGGGAAGTGTATGACTCACCATAGGTGAGGGGAAGTGTATGACTCACCATAGGTGAGGGGAAGTGTATGACTCACCATAGGTGAGGGGAAGTGTATGACTCACCATAGGTGAGGGGAAGTGTATGACTCACCATAGGTGTGGGGAAGTGTGTGACTCACCATAGGTGTGTGGGAGTGTATGACTCACCATAGGTGAGGGGAAGTGTATGACTCACCATAGGTGAGGGGAAGTGTATGACTCACCATAGGTGTGGGGAAGTGTGTGACTCACCATAGGTGTGGGGGAGTGTATGACTCACCATAGGTGTGGGGAAGTGTATGACTCACCATAGGTGTGGGGAAGTGTATGACTCACCATAGGTGTGGGGGAGTGTATGACTCACCATAGGTGAGGGGAAGTGTATGACTCACCATAGGTGTGGGGAAGTGTGTGACTCACCATAGGTGTGGGGGAGTGTATGACTCACCATAGGTGTGGGGAAGTGTGTGACTCACCATAGGTGTGGGGGAGTGTATGACTCACCATAGGTGTGGGGAAGTGTATGACTCACCATAGGTGTGGGGAAGTGTATGACTCACCATAGGTATGGGGGAGTGTATGACTCACCATAGGTGTGGGGGAGTGTATGACTCACCATAGGTGTGGGGAAGTGTATGACTCACCATAGGTGTAGTGTATGTAGGTGGGGGAGTGTATGACTCACCATAGGTGTGGGGAAGTGTATGACTCACCATAGGTGAGGGGAAGTGTATGACTCACCATAGGGGTGGGGGAGTGTATGACTCACCATAGGGGTGGGGAAGTGTATGACTCACCATAGGTGTGGGGGAAGTGTATGACTCACCATAGGTGTGGGGGAAGTGTATGACTCACCATAGGTGACTCACCATGGGGGAAGTGTATGACTCACCATAGGTGAGGGGAAGTGGTGTGAGGGGAAGTGTATGACTCACCATGAAGGTGTAGGTGGGGAAGTGTATGACTCACCATGGGTGTGGGGGAAGTGTATGACTCACCATGGGTGTGGGGGAAGTGTATGACTCACCATGGGTGTGGGGGAAGTGTATGACTCACCATAGGTGAGGGGAAGTGTATGACTCACCATAGGTGAGGGGAAGTGTATGACTCACCATAGGTGTGGGGAAGTGTATGACTCACCATAGGTGTGG